CACCCTGTGTCCGCACTGTTCATACTGTGCCCAGAGAACAGGAGAATAGATGCCAACTATGTGCTCTCACACAACCACAGACCACCATGTCCTCACACCCGTCGCCCACTCATCACGCCTGGAGGGAGGAAGCACTGTGCCCTCTTTCCAGGGGAGGAAACAGGCCTGACTAGGGAGGTTGGGGCCCAGAAGACATCAGAGCCTAGGTGATTGGCAACAGGCCACTCCCAGGTCTGAGCTCTTTCCTTGGAGGACTGGGATCCAGATTGTCACGCTCCCAGGGGCCCTATGGCCTCCTCATGTTGTCCTTCCCCCAGCAGCTTCTCCTCCCTACTTCCGCCCGCGGCCGGGGGGAGGGCTGAGGAGCAGACTTGCCTCCGTCCCTGGCTGACCCTGTCATGTCCCACAGCATCTGGAGGGGAACTCAGAGGGCAGAGGAAGGCAAGAGTCTCCTCATCTCTTCCTGGCTCCCTGGGAGGTAGCTCCACCCAGCCTTTCCAGCCATGAAAACTGCTTTTAAAAGAATTTTTAAAGACATCAGAGAAGTCTCATGATAGAGTGAAATGGAGGATGCCGACCTCCCCCAACATGTGTTCCCAGTTACTTAAGTCTATGTACGTATCTATGAACACATGAATGAAATCCTAGGAGGATATACCCACCTCCCCTAACCCACAGTGTTCTTCCACCACTCTATCAGACTACAGGTGATAAGAATTATTTTCCTTGACTTCTACATTGCCATTCTTGTTCAATGAAGATGTTCTTAAAGTCAAAAGAATTCAATGAAATGTACTTTTACCTCTCTCCATCCTGGGGAGTTCTGGGAAGTGGTGGTGAAGTTGGAGCTCACTACTGGGAGGTGTCTCAGTATGGCTGGCCATACCCAATGCAAGAAATAGGGACAGCAAGAGGTCCCCAGCCCATTAAACTGCCTGTACCCCAGGGCCAGTTTTCTGGGGCCAGGCTGCCTCATAGTCTTCCAAGGACCTAGCAGGGTGCTGCGAGAGAGCTGTGGCACTGCCCGCCAGCCCCAGCTGGCACAGCAACCTCTGCAGTGGGCAGGAGTCCAGGCGGGGGTGGCAGGAGGATGAGGCCAGGCTGACTGCCGAGGAAGCTGCACCGCAGACCGGTGGACTGGTGGTTTTGAAATTAAGGGTGGGGAGAGGTCATCCCTGGGGGTCAGGGGCTGCTCTGGAGTTGGGCACATGCGCATGGAGGCCTTGCTCTCAGCGCCCAGTCAGCCTGAGGAGCCTGAACCTGGTCACCTGCTCAGATCCCTGAGAGCCACATTCCAGGTGACACGGCTTGGCTCCTGAGGGTGAAATTTTTGCCATCCTGGGCTGAGGACCCAGGAGAAGGGGAAGGGGGAGGAACTGTGAGGTGGTAGCAGGCACTAAGTCACAATAAGGATCGAGGTGGGGCCAGGCTGGGGTCTGGAACGTTGGCCTGAGACCAACAGACGTTCATCGGCCCCTCTGCTCCTATGGGCCTTCTGCCCTCCAGTTGATCTTTCTCTTCCCTCACTGGGCACCTCCGCTTCTGTTTCTTGATCCTCTCCTCCCCTTTGGGTCCACTCTCCCAGTGAGCCCTTCCCACACCCCAGACCCTCTTCCCTCATCTAACTCCTCTCCACTCACCAAGCTCCACCTGCTGTGCCTCTCCACCCTCTCCTTGAGCCTGTGTTACCCCGCTGAGCCTCCTGCCCCAGTGAGCAAGAGAACACTCTCTCCCTGATCCTCCCTCTTCTCACTACACCTCCATACTCTTGGAATTCTCCACCCGTTCACTGAGATAAGGTGTTGGAATTGAGAAAAAACTCATTTTTGCCTGACTGCTTTTACCCTCTCAGCCTGGACAAGTGTTCAATCAACCTACCCCTCTCTGAGGCCCTGTACTTTCTCCTTAGAGTGTCAGCTGCAAAATATCTCTAGCTCCACAAGATTTCATGAATAAGCATCATTCCTGCTGCTTTTGTGGATATGGGTGCTTTATGACCTGGGGCTTCCAGGACTCTGGCAGGCAAGTGCCCTGGAGGGCATTTCAGTGTCCCTGAAGGTCACCTCAAATCCTGGGTCAGAAGGGCTTGATCATGGCTCAATCAAGGAGTGCTGGAATGTTTGGATAAGCTGCCAGGTCTCCAATTCATATTTTTACCTTTTAGTCAACTCCTAACTTTATAGATGGGATGGACAAGTAAAATTTAAATCTCAGCTCCAACTATTAAATCACTTCTAAACAGTGGAGGTGACTGCTACTTCTGTCAATAGAACCACAGGCTTCCCAACATATGATTTTATAAAACAGAGAGCACTTAAATTCTTGGTGCTGGCAGAGCCTTTGGGCATCATCTAGTGGAGGCTATCACTTTATGATTGTGGACATGGAGGCCCAGAGAGAAGGACATGCTCAAGGTCATACAAGGAGCTAGGGGCAGCAGTGGATCCAGAAAGAAAGTCTCCAGACTCCTCTCTGAGTCCTTTAGCTACTCCACCATTTGTCACTCCCGTCGCCCTGTCCCCACTGACCTACAGTGTCCTGGTTGACCCTTACCCAGGAGAACCTGGAGGACTGAGGGCAGAATGATGTTGTGGAAGCCACAAAGAGCTCCTTGAGGTGGTCTTGAGGTGCTCTGTGACCTTGGAAAAGTCACATCCCTTCCAGGCCTTTGCTCCTCTGTGGAAGACAGATAGTGGCACCTTTGGTACCAGGTTATATGAGGATGAAATGCATGGGAAGTGACACATTGATGGCCCCCAACTGGCTGCTAGGACAAGAGGAGGTATGATCCTGCCCCTGGGCAGTAGAAGTGGGCAGGAGAAGAGAAAGTGAATAGGAGGGCTGACTGCAGCAGGGCTGGGAGTTGCTTGTCACCATGGTCCCATCTCATGGAGTGAGAGTTAGCCACTCAGAAAAGAAGAAGCAGTCACTGGCTTGCCGAGGTCAGCAAGAGGCTGGCAGGCAGAGGAGGTGAGAAGTGGGTGCGGCAGTGAGCAGATGGGCCTGCCAGACCTGGACTCCTCCTCTTGCTGACGTGGCAGTAGTGGGGGTGGGCTGTGATGGGGGCACCCAGCTGGCCAGTTCAAAGCACACTCCACCTCCAAACATCTGAGTGACCTTGGGAGAGCCAGCTCTTCACCACCCTGAACACCTTGTCCATGTGCCTCAGGATCCCCACCTGGAAAGCTGGCCCCATAAATCAAGAAACTGGCACTTAACTGGGATTAATATCAAGGCTCTAGAACAGGTCATCAGCTCCACACCTGCCTTAGGGAAGCCAGCTTGAGTGGCTTCATGACCTTGGGAAAGTCACTCAAGTCTCATTTCACAGTTATGAAATAGGGACAGTGATGGCTTCTTAGTGAACTTTTGTGAGGACAAACTGAGTCACCTGTAGTAGTATACTTAATATGGAGCCTGGTATGAGACCTACAAACAAATTCTACTTCCTTTGGTATGAGAAAGATTAACTATTAAACAGTTAAAACTTTTCCACATTTATCCAGCTCCTCCTTAAGAAATTTTTATTTGCATTTTACTCACTAACACTCACCCTGCATTTTACAGGTTAAGTTTCCCACCCATTATCTGGACTTTTCTTTAAGCAAAGAAACACTGTAGATACTGTTAACACTATGCCTGTTTTATGCATTGGAAAATAGGCTCAAAAAGACAGACTTTGGCCCTAACTAAAGTCAGGTAGCTTAGATTTGAACCCATGTTTTTCAGACTTCAGAGTCTGTGACTCCCTACCCATTCACCCTCATCTCTTAAAAAAATCCAATCAGTGTTTTACTCTTCAAGAACTCTCCACCCCTCTCAGGAGAGTGGGAAGGGGTATAAAGTGAAGGAACTAAAAGGCTGGTGTTGTGTGGGAGCGGTTTCCTTGTCAGCCCAGTTCTATTTCTGGCTGGGGAAGGATTTGACATATGCTGGGGTCATGACCTTATGATGCCCCCTGGAGAGAGAAACTCTCCAGCCCCTGCCAAGCACCTCAGCACAGTACTTATCTTTCCCCTTGACACAGGACAAAATATTATTGCAGGATCTCTGATGCCAGAAGTGGACGAGTGGGTGAGGTCTTAGGGGGAGTGGGAAGTTATAGCTGGGAAGATAGGACATAAGCATCAGAACCCCAGACCATACCTTCTCTTGCTCTGCCCCAAATCCATCCCTACAATAGATCTGCTGCCAGGAGTAGGAACTGCAGGAGGTTTCAACACTGTCCAGGCAGGATCCCTGGGAGGGAGGGGGAGGAGGATTCAAGCAGAGACTGCGTCTCTCTCTTCTCTCCTTTCTCCTTTATACCAGCAATTTGCTCTGGGGTTGGGCCCACTCTGAGCTCCAGAAACTCTCTCTGAGCATACAGAGGAGAACCCCCTCCCCCCCCCCCGACTCTAAACTCCTACTGGCCATTTTTCTCTCCTGTGTCCTCCATCCTCTTTCCAGTATGAGAGTAAATGCCATCCTGTGTGAGACCCAGTTTTCGTTGCCAGCTCCTGCTTCTCCAGGGGCATTTGGGCAGCTGGGAAAGGGGCCAGACTGTTTCCTATACTTCCACCTCCTGCTGGACAGAAGCCAAACCTTCAAGTAGGGGCCTGCTTCCTCCACCCTTCCCATTGACCAGCATCTCCACTGGGATCCTGCATTGGTCTCTCCCCTTCCCTGGGGACCAGGTCCTTCTCCTCAATAGGGCATGGACAATTGAACTGTTGTTGTGGGTCCCTTACCATCCTCATAGAATGACCCATGGTCATTGATGCCCATAAGAATCCTACCCATGATCCCCGCAGGGTTCTCACTTTCCCCATCCCTTTCAAAAAATGAACAACGTTCCCCAGGTGTTTCTCACCCTTGAATAGACACTCTAGCAGTCACCCGACACCAATCCTCTGCCCAGGGATCTGTGGACCCTGAGCTCCAGTCCAGCTGGTGAGGCCCGAGCTTCAACCCACCCTAGCCCCTCTGGGAAATGCCCCCGCCCCACCAGGGGCTCTTACCTCCCCGCTGACCGCCGCGCTTCGCTGGGAGCAGAAGCCAGGTTCTCCGACCCCGTTTGTCCCTTCTGCCTCTAGGTCTCCTCCTTGGCTCGAGAGGCAGGGCAGGTTCTGGGCCCCCGCGGCCCGGCGCCCTCCGTCTCTCCGCGGGCACCGCCGCCGCCGATTGCTGAAATGCTGGACAGCGCACCACCATGGAGGCAGCCTCCCTGCCCACCCGCCGGCCAGAGCGGCCCAGAACCCACAGCGCCCTCTTCAGGCCCGGAGGGCCGAAAACAAAAGCGGCAAGGGACGCGGCGTCGGAGAGGGACCCGTCTTAGCAAAGAATGTCTACTACACCCTCGCAGGTGGGAAAACGACAGCTGCCTGGAGGTTCCCAGGACCAGAGTTTATCAGTTTGGACCTGGGAATGGAACATGGTATCCTGAGTTCTTTCTGGGACAGTGCGCAGCGGTTTAAGTGCAGACCTGTCTAGAAGACAGGCCTCCAGGACATCGTGCGTCCTGGCGGGCAATGAGGCCAAGGGGGTTGGGGGGGACAGAGTCCCTGGAGAGAATTTTGAGGATGGAATCTCTAGACCTTTGGTGGTGCTGGGCTGGGCTTCTGGAGTTCAAGTTACCCTTCGGTTTGTCTCTTGGTGACCTTGGGTAGCTTGTCCACCCTGCAGTATCTGCCCCACTTTCCTATCTGCACACTGAGCTGCGCGGAGGAAATTCAAGCGTGGGGGATGGGTCCGGAAGGCCCAGAGAGCTTTTCCCTGGTGGAAAGGAGGAGGAGCATCTAAGCTTTGCCCGGAGCCACCAGCGGTGCCCAGGGCTGGTGACTGTCTCAGGAAGCAGGCCTGGGGATCCAGGAGCCTAGGGTGGCCAATTGAGGCATCTGGGGCACAGGTGTTTAAAAGACAATCACGTGTCATTGAGTTACACCACACTGTGTGTAGTGAGTGTGTCTGTTGTGAGTGTGTGTCTGTGTGTGAGTGTGCATCTGTTTTGGTATTCTTGTCTGGAGTCTGTGTGTCTGTGTCTGTGGCATCCTTCTCCCTATACCTCTCCTTTCCCCCACATTTATTCACCTACTTGTGTGTGTGTGATTGTGATTGTGATTCTGGCACTGTAGGTTCATCTTGCCTGTGAAACAAAGGTTGGGGTGGGGGAGAAGAGTGGGCCACTCAGCAGCAGCTGCCATTACTGCAGCCCCATGTCCCCAGGGGTGGCCCTCTCTCTGCTTCCCACCTCTGGCTGCATGAATATTTCATCTGCTGGGGCTGTGGGCGCCTATAGAACCCTTGAGCTTGCTCCCCCTGCCTGGGAGGGGCTAATCCCTTTGCTGGACTGAGCTGGGTCTCCCAAGGCAGAGCAGGGAGGAACAGATCAAGTGCTGGGGGAGGGTCTCTAACACCCAAACACCCTCTTTCAAGTCCAGCGTCTAAGTCATGATGTTAAGGGGAAGGATGTCCTAAAGGAACTCTGCGGAGTCCTATGGACTCCACCTCCTACTCCAGCTTTCTGGACCCTACACACTACTCCAGTGATTTTGAAACTACAACTCCCAGCAGTACTAGGGAGAGAACTGCGAGGACCCAAGGGTGGAGCTAAGCAGGCATTCTGGGACTTTGGGGGATAAATAGGGCGCCATTGTGTCTCTCGCTCTCTTGCTTGGAAACGGCTCTCTGGACCCCGTGACTAGGGGTTTTTAGTTAGTTTCTTACCAGAGCTCCAAGTCAGCCCAGCCGGTAAGATATTTCAGTTGTTGTTTCCTTTCCTTTCCCCCTTTTGCAAATAAACCCATTATTGACCCTTTTGTGTGTGACTGCAGCACAATTGAATTTTAAGCACGGGTGAGGCCCCACAGACAGGCGGCCCAGTTCACACTGGGGTGCCCTGTAACAAGAACACTATTAGTCCTGGAAATCTTCAATTCCTCTTCTCCCTACAAATTGTCCTCTTTATAAAAATGCGTCTCTTCACCCCAAGGGTGCCCCTTGAACCAGACCTTGGCCCTGCATTCTTGCCTGTTCCTTCCCTCTCCACATCCATTCTCCCATAGCTCTTGGCCAATGAACCCTTCCAATACTTCTCCATATAAGATACACCTCCTCACTCAGCACTATTTTTCCTTCTTATCCACCTTAGTTTTTTTTCTTTTTGGGGTAAAATATACATAACATAAATTTTTTCATTTTAACCATCTTAATGGTATAAATCAGCGGCATACAGTATATTCACACTGTTGTGAAGTCAGCACCCAAACCCAGTCAGAAACTCTGTGGTGCACACAAAACTCTTTTTCTCCAGTTCCTTCTCCCGGCAACCCCCATTCTGCTTCCTGTGTTCATGACTCTAACTACTCTAGGTAACTCATGTACATGGATGCATATAGTGTTTGTCTTTTTGCGACTGGTTTATTTCACTGAACACGATTTCCTCAGTGCTCACCCACACTGGAGAATATATCAGATCATCCTTCCTTTCTAAGGATGAATAATAGTCCATGGTATGAAGTGACCACCTTTTGATTATATATTCATCCATCTGTGGACTTTTGGGCTGTCTTCACTTTTGGATTTTGTGACTAACGCTGCATGAACATGGGTAGGCAAACATGGGCTTGCTTTCAATTTTGGGGGGGTCTATACCCAGAAATGGAATTACTGTATTATATGGTAATTGTGCTTAATTCTTTGAGGAGCTGCCATGCTGGGCCCCAACATGCTGATGGCACTAGCAATGCATTAAGGTCTTGATTCCTCCACATCCTAGTTAACACGTTTTTTTTTTTTTTTTATAATAGTCATCCTGGTAGGTGAGAAATGTCATCTCATTTTGACCTTGATTTGCATTTCACTGATGATCAGTGATGCTGAACATCTTCCCATGTGCTCGTTGGCCTTTGCTGTGGGCTGTGCACCCTTATCTTTATCTTATCTCTCTCTACCTATCTCCCATCATGTTATGCCTCCACTTGTGAAATTTTAATATATATGTATTTTTTTGTTTTCACACCCTAAAACTTGAGCTCTATGAGGGCAAAGACTTTGCTCATGGCTGAATTCCCAGTTCCAGAACATAGTAGCTGTTGCTTGAGTGTCTGACTGCTTCTCTTGGTGTTTTCCATCTTCGCCTGGCCTCACCAGCCAAGCTGCTGTCTGTCTTAAATCTTGCCATTTGGATTATGAGAATGATGCTGTTGTGAACAAGCCTTTCCAAGTGGACACTGGCCCCAGCCTGGGGTTCAGGAACTGGAGTGGACTTATGCTCTCCATTCCTCTATAGATAGACTCACTTGCCTCCAATCTGCCACCAAACTTGTCATTGCCATGCCCTGTCTCCTCCCCCTCTGCCCCTGCTGGCTGGTATATCTGCTGGTCTCCTGACTGTAGCACCTTTTCCTGCTTCCTTGTCCTTCAGCTCCAAGATGAACTCCCCTCCCAGGTGCCCACCTTCCCAGGTACCTGGTCACCCTATCTGGGGCCTCACTCTCAGAAGTGAGCAGGAAGCGCCCTGTGATGAGCACATAGCTAGGTCGGTGTCCTTCACCATCAGATGCCAGCCCCAGAGAGTGGCTTACAGAGGCCTGAGCTCAGAAATGGCCCTGCCCCTTCTCTCTTATTTTGCCTGTCTCTGCTACCCTCTCCACACCGTCCTATCCCATCCAGAACAGGACCTCCACAAAGGCGGGGCTGGGGTATGCTTGTGTCTGTATTTCCCACACCAGTGTAGAGGAGGCAAGAATCCTGCTGTGGAGTGGAGTCATCTGTTTTCCTGCCTCCAAGCTGTTTTTCCCCCTTTCCCTACTTCTATCCCTCCTGCTCCCGACCTCAACAATTTACTCTGCTCCCTTTTCCCTCTGTCTTTGCCTTGTCTCTTTCCATTTATTTTTCCGTATAATGTGCTACAGAGAAGCACCGTGGGGGCTCTTGGACTTCCCATCAGTTCTGTTTTTCTGATGCCTCGCAACATGCTCCCCACCCTGGGCATGGGAGCCACTTTAGTGCTAGTTCACTCTGAGCCTCCCTCCAGACGTGCTCATCTGCACCCTCCGGGTCTGCTGTAGTGGTTGCTGTGTAACAAATTCTCCCAAACTTAATGACTCAGAAAGGCCACCATTTTATTTTACTCACAAGTGTGGGGGTGAGAAGGTTGGTCAGGTGGCTCTTCTGCTTCATGGGCCATTCGATGGGGTCACCATGCAGTATTCCTTTCATGAATGGCTAGTGGACTGGAGGGCTGGGTGCCCTCAGTCACATGTCCCGGACCCTAGCAGGGCAGAGCGCTGGGCTGGCACATTCTCTCCTGCAGTACTCACAGCTCTCTCCACGTGGTGTCATTGGACTTCTTTTTCTTTTTTTCTTTTTTTTAAGATTTTACTTATTTGTTCATACAAAAACTGGGGTACAGGCCAGTGGTGCAAGGGCAGTGCAAAGATTCAGAGACAGAGTGGGGAACAGAACAGGCAGATCTACTGAAATAACAGCGCTGAGAGGAGCAGTGGGAGGGACAGGAGAGGTCTGCTGCGCCATGTGGGTCAGCTCTCTGGCGGGGGGTTGAACTCGTGCCCAGTGGCTGCAGCTGGCTTCATAGTGCTGCACCTTAGCCCATTGCGCCACCTGGGAGAACCCTTAGACTTCTTACAGGGCAGCTCAGGGCTTTAGATACAAGAGTTCAGGGTGGCTCAGGGCTCTAGATTTAAGAGTTTCAAAGGAGAGGAAGTGGAAATTGCCAACCTCGTAAGGCTGAGAAGGCCTAGCAGGCACAGCATCCTTTCTCATTTCCAGTGGGTAAGCAGCTGCTGGGCTCGTGCCACTATCTAGTGCTCCTCTATCTCTACCAGAGGTGGAGGCATGGCTCCTACCTCCAGCTGGGAGGAAGATCAAGGACTGGGCGATGGTCTTCAATCTGTTATGCTGCTGAGTTACACTTTGGGGGGCCGACCCATGAGCACGCTCCTGAGCTTGCAGCGGCGCCTCAGCCCCTGGGCTCTTCCTTGGCCCAGCATGCCTCACAGTCCCATCACCCTGGGCCCAGTGCTGTGAACCCCACCTCATCCCAATTCATTCAACAGCCCCCTTCCTCCACCTGCGTCTCACAGCCACACGCTGACACTCGGGGCACAGACACAGGATGGCAGGACCGGGCTTGCGTAGTCACTGGGCTCTCACCAGAGAGACGATA